CTCTTCAGAGTCAAGTTCTAAAGACAAAGGGCAAGTGTCATGATTCTACAACTGACTCTTACATGGGTCCACCTGTACAGACACATATACACATGCAGATTTGAATATATAAAACAACAGTGGTGAAATGCTAACAATTTCTTAAATCTAAGAGGAAGTAAGAATAGTCACTGGACCAGTCATTCAACTTTTTGTATGTCTGAAGTTTTCCAAATATAAAATTAAGGAAAATAAAATAAATGAGAAGAGAAACACTTCAACAAAAAGCATCTCACACCAACAGAGATTTACTGAAGGCATCCTCTGTTTCAGGTTTGGTTTATTCACTTATTTTTTCTTTCAGTCATTTATTCAACAAACACACCTTGAACACCAAGCACTGAACAACAGGGCAAGCTACAAATCCCTGCTCCCTTGGGGTCTATGTGCTCAGGACCAAAGCACACAATGGATACATCGAGATGTGATAAAGCAGGTAGTGGTAACTGTTTTGGAAAGGCCTCTCTTTAGAATAGAGACTGGAATGAAGTGGCAGAGACAGCAAGGGAGAGAGTGAGCCATCTGTCTATCTGAAGGGGAGGCATATTCCAGGCAGAGAGAAAGCAAGTGCAGCCAGCGGTGGGGAAATGATATGGCCAGTGGGAAATGACCAGGAAGGAGAGTGGAAGGAGTAAGCTCAGAGGAGCTGGGCAGCACCTGGTATTCTCGATTGCATTAAGTAAAGCCAAAGGAGGGTTTGGGGCAGAGGGGTGACTAAATGGGGAGGGGGAACAATGAAGGGAGAGGCAAAGTAGACACAGGGAGGCCAGTGAGGAAGCTACAGTCAATAACCCGGACAAAAAAATGCTAGTGACGCAGATGACAGGGGCAGTGGTGGTCAGGGGTGGAAGGTCGCTAGCTTCCCCTTTAACCACCCACCCACCCCCACCCCAATGCCCTAGTAAAGCTGAGAGCTGCTTGTGGTTCTCCAACGCACTGGGCTCTTTCAAAATCCTGGGACCGCCACCACTACAGCACCCACCAGCAGCTTCCTTCTTGCCCACCTTAACAATAAAAGGGCAAATTTACTTCGGGGTCAGGCCTACCTGAATTAAAAGCCCTATGGGTTTGGGGACCAGCAGTCAGTGTAATGGCTATGTCACTGAACTCCCATGTAGTCAACCATGGTTCGAATCCTGGATCCGGTGGCATAAACTCACGCCGGGTGCATGTCCATGCGCACCCAAGATCCCGAGAGGAGAATGGAGGAGAAGGAATTGTGGCGTGGCCATCCCCCCTGGGGGTTGATTTCTCGCTTTCTATCTCTCTGTCTCTCTCTGTCTTTCTGGCGAGCTCACA